TGTAGGGTTTTTTTAAATTAGTGATTGATGGGGGAGGACCCAGATCATTGTTGGTGGTGCTATCCCAGGGCTTAAGGTCCTGGGTTCTGTAAGAAAGAAGGCTGAGAAAGCCATGAGGAGCAAGTCAGTAATCAGCACCCTCCATTGCCTCTACATCAACTTCTGCCTCCAGGTTCGTGCTCTGTTTTGAGTTCCTGTCCTGACTTCCTTCAGCAATGAATAGCAATATGAAAATGTAAGCCAAATAAATCCTTTCCTCTCCAAGTTACTTTTAGTCATGGTGTTTCATTACAGCATGACTAAGACACCCTATGTCCAAAGTGCATGATGTCTTCAGCCATAGGGTCTTCCCTTCACGTCTGGGAGGCAACCATGCCAATATACAGGTCTCTAAACCAACAGCTCAAAGGGAGGTTTCCCATGCTTGGCACTGGAGTTTTCATAAGATAGTCTATGGCTCTTGGAGACAGCATTGCCATCCCAAGTGGCAGGCAAATCTTCACTAAAAAGTAATTTATATATGCAAATATACTTTATATATGCAATTTTAGGTAAACACAAAATCATTTTATAGCTTTTTCAAATATCCTTAGTGTTATTCATCCCTTCTCCCTTTGTATTCGCTCCATCCTCTAAATTTTTTTTTTTTTTTTTTTTTTGTGTGTGTGTGTGTGTGTGTGTGTGTGTGTGTGTGTGTGTATGTGTCTTGTTGTTGATGATTTGTTTGTTTTCTGAGACAGGGTTTCTCTGTGTAACAGCCCAGGCTGTCCTGGAACTTGCTTTGTAGACCAGGCTGGCCTCAAATTCACAGAGATCTGCCTGCTTCTGCTTCCCCAGTGCTGGGATTAAGGACATGCACCAGCACTGTCCAGCACCCCTAAGACACAAAAGCACGTCTTGAAGCCACTCTCAGCACTACTGACTCAGTCTTTTCCTCCTTCTTACTTTTCCTTGTCTTTTTGAATGTTCTGTTCCCCTATGCTGTCTTCAAGTCCTGCTATGCTGTCCTTCCCTTGAACAGGTGACTAAGCATTCAAGCATATAAGCCTACGGGGGCCATTCTTATTCAAACCACCAGTTTCTTTCTCTCCCTCATTCTACTTTTAAAAACAAAACTGCCTCCTCTCCTCTCCATTATCCTATTTCGCTATTTACTTTCCCTCCATTACTGTTTCTCTGTCTACTAATCTCACTTTGCTTTTTTCCCTTTCCACTCATACCCAATGGAACTAATATAATAGTGCACAAAGAATTCTCAATACTCCTTTATTTCCTAATATTATTGACATCCAAGTGGTGATAGTTTTATACTCCACACAAGACCCTCAGATACTGATTAGTTTTTGCAGACAATACTCCCCCTGTGGTGGGAACACGGGCATTTAGCGTGGGGGTTCCAAACACCACAGGGCAGAGGTAACCAACACCATAACACTACCATAACCCAGTCTCTTCTAAACATTGACAACAGTTCCACTGGAAAAATGATGTAATTTAAGAGAATAAAATTCAACAAATGATTTAACCCAACATAAACAAGCTTCAATGAAAACTACAGCAAAAACAAAAAACCAAGACAACCTGAGTACTATGAAAACTACTAATCCCATGGTAATGGCCTTCAATGTGAGTGAATTAGTTGAGAATGAAATCAAAAGAGTAACTGTAAATATGTGAAAGAAAAAGTGGACACAGATTCCTGAATGAATTCAGCAGAACAAAAACATGAATTAACAAGTCAGCAGAGGAAGTGGAGTTCAGTAGAAAGAAACATTGAAGAAGAACCAAACTAAATACTGGAAATGAAAAATTCACCAACAGTACTGTTCAAGGGAAGGACAGCATAGCAGGGCTTGAAGACAAGATAGGGGAACAGAACATTCAAAAAGCGACAGAAATCACTTACAAGAACCTACCACCAGAAAGGGTTCGGAGATAGCTCAGAGGGTAAAGTACTTACTGCATGGACTTGGCAACTTGAGTTCCCTCCCTAGGATCTATATAAATGTGATAGGAGAAAGCTTATTACACAAAGTTGTTCTCTGACTTCCAAATGTGTGCTGCAAGATGTGTATGGTATGCACACACATAAACACACACACACACACACACATGCACACACACTAGAATAAATGAGTGGATGGATGAATGGAAAAAATTCTAACACTGTAAAAAGATCAAATCTATGCATCGTGGGCATGCAAGTATATTGTGTGCAAGGCAAAGAAAATATTTTCAATAATATCATACCAGAAAACTTCTGAAGTCTGAGGAAAGAGGCCAATCCAGGGATAAATGATGTGCAATTAGCACACTAAACAGAAAGGATGAGATAAGAACATCCACATGCCATATTATAGTACAAATGTGTGTGTGTGTGTGTGTGTGTGGTGTTGTATACATATGCTGTTTGTACTGTAATATATATACATACATACACACACACACACACACACACACACAGAACAAAGAAAGTATACTGAAAGTTGCAAGAGAAAACATACAGGCAGAAGAAACATCTCATTAAGTTCAGGAATGCTTGAAAAGAAAAGAGCTGATGGACCAAAGAATAGATTGCAGTTTCTACAAATAACATGCCTAGGCAGGGAACTTAACAAGGCTGTATCAGCAGGAGAGTATATGAGCATTGAATTGAGGCTGAGCTGTCTGCCCACCTCTCCAAACAAAACCCAACAACATGCACATGTTAAGAGGGAACTGGATTACGACAGGGAAAAAGACATGAAAGTACTATCCTCTTAAGTAGCCTATTGCTTGGCAGACATTGGAAAAATGAAAGGGTGCTGGTTTGCCTTTTGTTTTGTTTTGTTTTTTGAGACAGGGTTTCTCTGTGTAACAGAGTCATGCCTGCCCTGGAACTTGCTTTGTAGACCAGGCTGGCCTCAAACTCACAGAGCTCCTCCTGTCTCTGCCCCAAGTGCTGGGATTAAAGGCATGCACCACCATGCTGGGCTGGTTTGCTATTATTTCTTAATACCTAGCAGGATGCAAAGGATAGAGAATACAGTTTGGATAAATGCAGGGAGCCCTTCCTCAGATCCCAAACCTTGGAATTCACAGGAAGACTCACATAAGGGATTGAGGTAGAAGCAAGGAATGAAAAACATCTTTAATACACAAAAAGGGAGCCAGGCATAGTGACACACACCTTTAATCCCAGCACTCAGGAAGCAGAGGCAAGCAGATCGCTGAGTTCAAGGCCAGCCTGGTCTACAAAGCAAGTTCCAGGACAGCCAGGGCTGTTAGAGAGAGAAACCCTGTCTCAAGAAAACAAAAACAAACAAACAAACAAAAAACAAAAAAGGAAAAATCATGATGATAGGGGTCTTTTTTAAAAAAAGATTTCATTTATATATGTTTATCTATATGCTACATACATGTAGATGCTCTTCAAGGCTAGAAGAGGGTGCCAGATCCACTGACCCTGAAGTTATGGCAGTTGTGAACTGATATGGGTGCTGGGAACCACACCCTTGTTCCTCCAGACAAGCAATAAACATTTGTAAAGGCTGAGCTGAGCCATTTCTCCAGTCATGAAAGTCTTACTGTGTGGTCCAATTTTGGGAAACTTTGATACTCAGAGAATGCCCTGCATCTAAATGGTTTGAATTCAGGAGAACTTTACACAATGAATGAGCTTCTCACATTCTGGTACAAATAGGATCAGATTAAGTCAATCTGGAGTGGAGAAACTAAGAAATATAACTACCCATGCTCCCCTGAGACAGACTTCCTAATCAGTAGGGACAAAGGGACATAAGCCTCTATGGACTGGTTCATATAAACCATTAGCATGACAAAATTTTCTTTTAAGTTGTTTTGTTTATTTAGTGTGCATGCACATATACATCTACCATAGTTGAACACGGACACCGCAGGACAACTTTAGATGGCCCGATCTTTCTGTGCACCACTCGGGTCAGAGGTCAAACTCAGGTCACCAGGCTTGACGGCAGGGGCTTTTATGTATTAGTTTTCCCACATGGTACCACCTTGAGAAGGGACCTATGAACGAACTATGAGTTGGCCTGAGTATTACTGTGACAGCTTATAAGTCCAAGCCTGCAGCCAGTGATTACTAAGCCCTCTGAAGCTGCTACCCTGGCACACACAGTTTGTGACTGGGACTAAAACCTGAGCCCACATCCTGGGGATAGTCAGATTCCCATCTTCTCCTTCCTCATTTGCTTTAATAGTAACAGTGCTTTTGAAAAGGCAGAGGCCAGCTGAGTGGTGGTGGCACATACCTTTAATCCCATCACTCAGGATGCAGAGGCAGTTCAAGGTCAGCCTGGTCTACAGAATGAGTTCCAGCCAGGGCTATTTACACAGAGAAACTCCGTCTGGCGGGGTGGTTGGGTGAGGGGGGAGGCACAGAGCCTGGCAGGCAGAATGCTCGGTTTCCTGTTTGCCTCCTCTGTGGCATATGTCAGTGCTCAGTTTACTTTTTTCCACTCACTGAAACACTGGGGCAATACCTTGACGCCTGGACATTTCTTCTTGTTAGGTGTTAAAACTGATGTAGGCAAGTCAGAAAGTATGCTGGAGTCTGGGCTCTGACAGCGGCTTTGAACATGAAAAGGGAAAGCTCTAAATGAAGATGCTCCTAGGCTGAACTGACTTTTGAAAACCATTTAAATGACATTTGTGTGAATGGAGATGGGTGAAAGGACAACTTGCAGGAGGTTGGTTTTTTCTTCCACAACGTGTCTCCCAGAAGTCAAACTCAGGTCTTCAGGCAAGTGTCTTTATGCTTTGCCATCACACAGGCCTAACACCTAACTTTTGACGGGGTAGGCCTCAGCTGCCATGTGACAGCTTTAAAAGACAGACCGGCAAGAGGGTCCTGCTTGGACTCCCATTTTTCCTCCTTGGAAGATTCCACTAGAGAACACAATATGGCAGTTCCAGGGCAGACATGAACAAATGGCCACTTACTACAGTGTCACACCAAAGTAATGATCCCACCAAAAACCAACTCGGAGAACAATGATTTTATTGAGATTTACTTACAGGAGTATTAATGAGGGGTTACTTACAGGTGTATGGGTGACTCAAAGTCAGTTGCACCACCAAAAAGTACACCGAGAAAGGGTGGCCACTCAAAAACATTCAACCCTATAGCTGCTCCCTACACAACTTTCAGGCAGTCGTACTATTTACAAAGTTTTAATTAAGTACTTCATTGTTTATTATCTTATGTTTTATTCATATGAATGTTAGAGTTGAAAAGGAAGACATTATACTATACAGTAAATAAAATCCAGAAAATGATTTGATAGTTTGAAAACTTATATCACAATAAACTGTAAAATCAAGAATAGTTTCAAGACATTTATGAAATATCAAAATTATGTCAAAAGGTAGAGTCCCATAGACATCCTCCCCAATATTATAAGCTATTGCTATTGTCCTTGGTTACCACACATAACTTGAGGGCAAGACCCCATTACTGCAGATACCACATACTGAGTCACAGAACATGAAGAAATCAAGCTTCTACTGACCTAGAGGCTTCACCCTACTGCTAGCTCCCACCATGGTGCTGGAAGGTGCTGTGCCTACTACCAGGGGAGAAGATGACACAGCAAACTTACCCAGCTGAGACCCCTCTGATCTACAGTGATGATCAGTCTAGGACCATGGGTATGGCATGAATGTTGTGGGAATAACCAACAACTTTTTGACCAGATTTAAGGCCCACTCCACACACTCCACAAGATGGTACTCATGCTCAGCACCATTAAGGTGGAGAACTTTCTATTATTCTGTTAAAAAGACATGGTGCGAAAACCAACTCCTTTGGGTATCTTAACACCCATAAATTTCTCTTTCAACCTTCATCCCAAAACTTTCTTTGTTTTATTATTTATTTATTTATTTATTTATTTATTTATTTATTTATTTATTTATTTATGCAGTAGATGGCAATTAACAGACTCACAACTGGTCAGCATGCAGAGAATAAGAGATTTTGGAGGGCTCAGCCCTAAATGAGACATCTATCTATATCAAATCCCTTCTCTCAGGGGACCAGAGATCATTATGGAAGAGGGAGCAGAAAGACTGTAAAAGCCAGAGCCAGTGGATTATTGTAGTCAAACAGTGTGTTCTGGACATAACAGGACAGTTGCACATTCATGCCACAATAAAGATAGCTTTGCACCCATGTATACACTGGCAGCATTTAACTCTATCTGTTAAAAAATAGAGAGCAAATAGAGAGGGAAAAGAAGAATTAGAAGGAAAGAAACAGGGGTGGGTGGACTTGATGAAAATGCATTATGTGCATGTATAAAACTCTCAATCAATAGCAAAATGAACAGATGAAGAAAAAAATAAATCAAGGAAATGTGAACAATGTAAAAGAGCAGCAAACTGCCAGCAGTGGGACACGCCTTTAATCCAGCACTCGGGAGGCGGAGGCAGGCGGATCTCTGTGAGTTCGAGGCTAGCCTGGGCTACAGAGTGAGTTCCAGGAAAGGTGCCAGAGCTACACAGAGAAACCCTGTCTCAAAAAACAAAAATAAAATAAAATAAAATAAAAATAAAAAAAGAGCAACAAAACTAAGTTAGAAATGAATTTTGTCTCCCAAAGGAAAGCATAGGACTTGATGAATTCACTACTGAATTCAAGCTTCCTAAACTATTTCACTAAATATAAAGGGAAGAAACACTAATTTATTCTTGGAAGGTAGTAGTACCCTGATAGCAAAACCATGAAGGACTCAACAATGAAGAAAATTACAAAAAAATTCCTTGATGAAAACAGACCCTCCTCCCCCAAAAACCCCTCAAAAGTATACTTTCAAACAAACTCAACATATTAAAAATACCACAAACTATGATCAGGTTGATCTCATTCTTCACATATAAGCATGTTTCCCCAGATAGCAATCAGTAAATGTGACAGAGAACACAGATGTTCAAGGACTGAAATCTCTCTATCACTGTAATACATGGAGAAGTGGACTTTGTCCAAAGTTCTATGTCCCTTAATGATAAAGTCTGGAAAAACCTAGAAAAAGGAACACACCTCACTGTGACAAATTATAAATGACAAAACTAGAGCCAATATTATACCAAACAGGAAAACTAAAATAATCAGGAATAACACAAAGGAGTCCACTTCTCTACACTGCTATATACATCTCCTGAATTCTCAGCTGGCAAAATAAGAGAAAAGAAAGGAAAGAATCCAAGAATTGGGGTGCAGTTTAGTGGTCCAGCACTTGTCTACTACACACAGCCCCTCAGTACAATCTTGAGCACAAGGAAAGAAAGAGATGTGAAATGAAGAAGTCAAATCTCTACAGACAGTATGATCGTCTTTAAAAAAAAAAAACATTATTATATGTGTATGGCTGTTTTGCTTGCATGTATGTCTGTGTACCATGCATATGTCTGGTGCCCAGAGACCAGAAAAGGGAGCTAGATTCCATGGAACTGGAGTTAGAGTTGTGAGCTGCCATGTAGGTGCTGGGAACCAGGCCTCAGGCTTCTAGAAGAGCCAGTGCTCTTAACTACTGAGTCATCTCTAGCCCCTATGGTCATATTCTTCAAGACCCAAACTGCCACACCAAAAGACTCTACATCTGATTTACTACTTCAATAAAGTAGTACAATAAAGTCAGTATAGAAAAAAATCAGTAGCTATTTATATGACAATGAAAATGGTGATCAAAAAACCAAGGGAAAAAAAATCATCTTCCAAAAGCCTAGGAAATAAGTTACAAGACAAAAAGTCAAATTCACCTATGAATAAACTTAGTCAAGCCGGTGAAAGGAGTACATAATGACAATTTAAAACACTGAGGAATTGAAGGCTCTGGAAAATGGGGAACATTCCTATACTCACAAATCAGCACCATTATAATATGAAAAGGTGTAAAGTATTCTTCAGACTCAATACAACCCCCCATTAAACCTCCAATGCCACTATTTATAGAAATAGAAAACACATTCCTATAATTATAAGAAAATCAAAATACCCAAATAGTCAAAGCAACACTGAGCAAAAAGACCAACTTAAATGAAACAGTGAAACTTAAAAGCAGACACGTAGAGCAATGGAAGAGTACAGTCCCAGAACAACCACGTAGCTACAACCTTCTGATTTCAGCAAAGGCACCCAAACCATGTACAGTATAATAAATGGCCTCTTCAACAAGGAAAATAACACATATGTACAAGAATATCCCTAAATCCCTCCAGCATTCTGTACAAAAGCCAACTCAAACTGAACCAAAAACCTTAACATAAGGCCTAAAAAACTTGAAATTCATAGAGGAAAATTTAAAGAATACATGAAGCTAGGGGCACAGACAACGGCATTCTGAATCTAATAATTTACAGGAAGAATAGCAAATAGGGAATGGGTATTGGAGGCTCTTGATTACAATGTTAACACCCAGGAACCAGAGGCAGGAAAGGCTGCTGTAAATTAGGTGCTAACCTGGTGTATGCAGCAAACTCCAGGCCAGTCAGGCCTCCATAGCAAGAAGCAATGTTAAAGACAAACAAACGAAAATCCCCAAAGACAAATGGGATTGAATCATTGCAAGAAGTTAAAGAGCTTTTACACAGAAAAAGGAAACAACTGTAAGAGAAAGCTACAGAATGGGGGAAAATATCTTTGGACACTCGTTTACCTTTCAAGGGTTTAACATAGAGAAAACACACACACACACACACACATACACACACAAATTATATTGCAAACCAACAAGTAACTGAATCAATACACAGGGAAACAATCAGTACAAATGTACAATTTGCCAATAAATCATGAAAATTCTCAATACAATTAAGTTCACCCCAGTGTGATTAGCTATCAAGGAGCCAAATTAAAACACAAGCTGGTGAGAATGTAGGGCTGTTCCTGGAAATGTATGTTAGTATGGTCACTCTGGAAAATAGTAGTGTTTCATCAAAAACTCAAATTATGATCTTTTGATCTTGCTGTACTATTGTTTAGTATATAGCAAAAGGAAACTAAGTTAGATTATACTATGCATACTTGTATACAGGTTCATATACTACTACTCAAAGTACTCAATTACAGAATCAGCTTATGTGCCCATCAATAGATAAACTAAAATTTTTTAAATGAGGCATACATAAAGTTTAGACTATACTAGGTCTAAGAACTTAACAGGAAACTTGGCAGGAAAATGAATGGGACTAGAAATCACTATATAAATGACTCTCAGCCCCAAATGGTGCTGCTACATACAGAATAGAATGTAGACTTTAACAAACAAGAGAGATGAAACCATAATTGAGTCTGTTAGGGAGAACAGGACTACTGGGGAGAAGGACGGTAACAAGAGACAGTGATTATGGTTAAAGTACATAAAAACTTAGGTCACAATGTCATTACAAAACCTATAATTATGCCAAAATAAACACTAACAATTTTAAAACATTAAAAAAAATTAAATGTAAAGAAAAAGAAACCCTCCTAAATGTTCACCTTTAGGAAGATATAAATGGGTCCAAAAAATGTTGGCATAGACTAGTCTAAGGTTTGGTGATCACTAGGTTGAATGTAAAGTGCTTTTCTTGTATTTTTCACTTTACTATGGGCTTATCATAATGTAACCCTATGGAAACTCTAGGAACTTGTGGATAACTGCATTCATCATTAACATTATTAAACATTAGTGTTTATATAGGAACTAAGAAATGCATAAAGGATCCAAACACTAGTTCACCTCACACAGCAAGGCCACTGAAGGACATGTCACAAGCCTCCACCAATGAGAAATGCTCCTTAATGACTATGACAGAAAGGTATTCTCCAAGGACATCTGCAAGCTGAAAAACCATAAAACATTCTGGATATGGAAGTGCCTCATACTCACTGATGAACTGACTAGCACATCTCATGAATTACATCTCCTTTTACTCCAGTACTGCAGTCTTCTGGGTAACTGCTGTTTTGATTACAAGAGCAGAATTACATTTGCCCCTCAGTGCATCCAACATGGGGGACACTTAACTAAGAATCAATCCTTGTAAGACCCCCTAAATTAAAACATCAGTCCTGTCAGAAACTCTATGGAGAATGCTTTTACAGATGAGCCACTCACTTGTCATGTACGGAGAGAGTGAGTAGAATTTATTGAACATATTTTTGGCAAGAAGGCAGTAATATCAGTATATCCTTTAGTGTAATGACTAGAGAAATCACAATGAGAAGAAATATACATGAAAAGCAAAATTTATACAGTGAAACACCATAATCACACATATATGATAATAATAGTTCTTGACATAAAACAAAACTAAGCTCAAGTTGACAACAGCCTGGCCTACACAGAAAGTTCCAGGCTAGCTAAGGCTATGTAGCATGACATCATCTCAAAAACAAAACAAAACAAAACAAAACAAAAACAAAACACAAGTTTCTTCCAATCACTCAGCTCCTGGCATCAACAGACCGTGGCTACTCTCAGCATTGGTCAGAGAAGCTTCTTTTTACAGTGGACAGATGTCAACGGAGAGATCCATAACTGGCCAAAGGACAAGAACAGACTGAATGTCCACCTTTAAATGAGAGAGCTATATTGATCCCTACCACCACCAAGGCTCAGGGAAAGCCAAAGAAGCAACAAGAATGCAAGAACTGAAGGGTGAGGAGGACTGCTATGAAATGCTGGGGTTCTGGCATGGTTACTAGAATCATAGCAACTGTGACTGCATGCACAAGACCTATAAAATGAAGCAAGCCAAAATCCCAGTACAGATGGGGTAGATTATCTCCAGGCCCCACCCCTTACTAAGAAGCTACTGGCAGTGAATAGCTGTTGGGGTGTGGAGAATCATTTGTGAAAATGTAACTACTGGTCACCCATCCTCCAGTGGATGGCCCCATACCCATGCATGTATGAGCAATACTAACTAGACCTAATGGGTAATTTAAAGACATAAAGTTAAGAGGGGGATATGAGGGAGAATACAGGGAGAGTTGGAAGGAGAAATAGTGGGTACATATGATCATCTTTTATTGTATACATGAAATTCTCAAAAGTAAAAAATAAGCCAACTTGGCAAAGTAATCTGACCTATGATTACAATATATTTACACCTACCATCTGAATAGGAAAAATAAAACAAAACTAAACACACCCTAATGTTTGCTATTCTAAAAGGATTTTGAAAATACTTCAAAGTTAAAAGAACATGTACTCAAGGATTGTGAGAACACATCAGAGAAAAACATAAACACAAGAGACAAAATCAATTTAAAAGGAGTTTAGGCCTGAGGAGGTGGTTTTGTGGGTAAGACCACATGCTGTGCAATCATGAGTGTATCAGCACACCCAGCACTATGGGGAGTAAGGAGACAAGAAATGCTGGGTTTTCTTGGCTGGCTGTCCAGTTCCAGGATCAGTGAGACCTGTCTTGGGGGAATAACATAGCAACAGAGTAGTAAGACATACAATATATTACTTTGTTCACATTGTGAACACCACTAATTCATAAACCATACCATCAACACATAAGCAATGCTCCAACATACACACTCGTGCACGCACAAGTGGTTTTTTTTTTTTCATGAAAAATGAGAATATACACAAAATCAGCCAAATGAAACCAACAGGATTATTCCAATATTCACAAAGTCATATTTTTAACCACCCATTAAACATGATTGAAAACAAGACATTTATGCAGGGGCTTGAGGGATGGCTCAGCAGTTAAGAGTACTTACTGCTCTACCATGAAGATTAGGATTTAGATCCCATCACACACATCATGCATGTCACAGATACCTGTAACGCCAGCTCCAAAGGATACAACACCATCTTCTGGCCTCCACTAGCACATTCCTACTCTCTATCTCTTTCTCTCTCACACTCACACACAAATACTAAAAAGCCTTTTAAAGATATTTATGTGGACTGGCATATTTCAAATATCAATTCACCAATGATTCCAACATAATTTACAATGAAAGAAGCACCTACCTTATCTGATACAAAGATATTACTCATTAAACTAATACATGATTGCTTTAAGAAACCTCACAAAATAATTTAATAAAATACACTTTCTATTAATGTAATTTTTTTATATGTAGGTCTTACTGGTCTCCAGTTCATGGGTTTAAGCTGCCATTCCACATTAACACAACGCTCTGCTTAATGCTTACTTTGTAGAGTAAAATTTAAAAATGAGTCAAGAGATGAACTTTTAAATAGTAGCTAATGATAATGAATGTGGAGGCAGACATCTTTCATTAAACATTCAAGAGCTAGAACCTGGGAGATTTCCAGTTCCAGGGAAACCTGGGATACACAGCAAAAGCTTTTGGGTGGGGAGCAGGGACAAAAAAATTTAATCTTTATTTTTATGTGAACATGTGAACCTATGTCACATGTGTGTGGGAAGAATTGGATCTCCTGAAACTGGAGTCACATGCAGTTGTGAGCCCTGTGATCTGTTGCTGAAAACCAAATGCAGGTCCTTTTAAAGAGCAGCAAATGCTTTTAAAGGTTAAGCCATTCCTATCAGCCCCTGAAAATTTTCCAATAAATACAAAATACTATACTGATAACATTCTCTTCAGAGTGTGCATTTCCTGGAGCATGCTACAAGAAAAAAATATGTCCAGTCCTTCATAATACTGACATTTATCAGATCAAATATGAAAAGATTTCAAAAGACTTTTCCTATATTTGCTACTGCTCTAGACTTTCAATGTTTTTCAACAGCAAAGGTTTTCATCTGGTGTTTCCATGTGTGCCAAATGAAAACTTGAACATCTCTTTCAAGCAAATCAGCACTTCATATCAGGTTCTTTCCTTATCTGTTAATTGAACCAAGTGGTGTTCATATCAGTTTTCCATTGATAGGAATTCTCCCCATGTACATTCTCGTGAGTGCCATCAGGATGATAATGAAGAGTTCACAAATCCTATTGTTAAGGTTTCTCTACGGTAGGTTCTCTCACGTCTGTGAGAGGATGTGATGATACCTGAAGACTATCCAAGATTGCCTATATATGAAGGGTTTCTCTCCATAGTGACTCCTTCCATGTGTTCAGGGGCAATGAAGAAGAAGTGAAGGGTTTTTTTTACAACACCACATATACAAGTAAAAGTTTTTCTAGAGTGAGCTTTCTCATGTCTCCTCCATGATCTGGGACTGCAGAAGGCTTCACCACATCACTTGCAGTCATAGGCTTGTTTCTCTTTCATGTACTTCAAGAACTTTAAACACAAAAACCATCTGCACATTGATTTTTTTTTTAAAAAAATGTTTCTTTCCATTGTGGCGCTTCATGTTTGTTTCAATGAAACAATGCAAAAGGTTCTTCCACTTTGCTAGCACAAATCCAGGTTTTTCCCCCCAGTGTGATTTTGCTTACGTCTTTGAAAGCTACCAAGCCAAAAAAATTTTTTTTCTCTAACTCATTATTAAAAAATACTGGAATCCATGGTAGTGTGAAGTAATTCATGTCTATGTAAATGGTTCAGAGTGAAGAAGGGTTTCCCACAGTATTTACAATTATAGGGTTCATCATCAATGTGTATTTTTTCATGCACCTGAAGATGACTGTAATACGTGAAAGCTTCCCCACACTGTTTGCACACATGGGGCTTCCCATCACCATGAGTTTTTTCATGTCTTTGAAGGGAGTAAGACCAAAGGAAGGTTTTCCCACACTGCTTACACTCATAGGGCTTCTCGCCAGTGTGAATTCTTTCATGGGTTTTCAGTGACCTGGAAGAAGTGAAGCTTTTCCCACACTGCTTACAAATATAGGAAACGGGGACACTGTGAAGTGCTTTATGTTTTTGAAACTGACTCCAAAGCACGAAGGCATTCCCACATTGCTCACATACATAAGGTTTTTCATCAATGTGTGTTTGTTCATGTTCTAGAAGTTCAGTAGAAGTAACAAAGGCAACCCCACACTGCTTGCATACATAGGGTTTCTCCTCAGTGTGAATTTTTATATGTCTTTGAAGAGAAGCAGAACGAGGAAAAGTTTTCCCACAATGATTACACACATAGGGCTTCTCGCCAGTATGGGTTATTTTATGTCTTAAAAGCGAGTTCAATCGAGTAAAGCTATACCCACACTGGTCACACACATAAGGCCTCTCCCCAGTGTGAATTCTTTCATGTGTTCTCAGGGAACCAGAACAAGTAAAGCTTTTCCCACATAGCTTACAAGCATAGGGTTTCACACCACTGTGAATTATTTCATGTTTTCGTAATTGAATCCAACGCATGAAGGTGTTTCCACACTGCTTACATTCATAAGGTGTTTCTCCAGTGTGAATTCTTTCATGTATTCGAAAGGAACGATAAGTAATGAAGGCTTTGCCACATGGTTTACATACATAAGGTTTCTCTCCTGTGTGAATTCTTGTATGAATTTGAAGAGAACTATAATGACGTAAGGTTTTCCCACAGTAATTGCACACAAAGAGGTCCCTAACAGTGTGAGTTCTTTTATGTGTTTTAAGGGAACGAGAATGAGCAAAGGTTTTCCCACACTGCACGCACACATAGGGCTTCTCCCCAGTGTGAATTCTTTCATGTGTTTGTAAGTAAGTGGGAAAAGCAAAAGCTTTCCCACACTGCTTACATATATAGGATTTCTTTGCCCGATGGCGTCGCTCATGCCTTCGATAGTACCTTGAAGAACTGAAAGCTTTCCCACATTGCTTACATTCAAAGGGCTTTTCTTCAGTCAAAGTCTTTTGAAGATTTTGACCAAATCTATAGTCTTCATTACAATTCTCATTTTTATACAGTCTCTCTAGAGTGTAAGTACTTTCATAGTTCTCAAACGATGGGAGAGAACTGGAGGTGGCCCCAAATTCCATACTGTTGTACAATTCCTTTCCATACTCCTGATCTTCATATGATTCATGCTCTGTGTCGGGTTTAAGGAGCACACTTAGAGACAAATGGCCAATGACTACTCTTGCACATCCACTGTTTTCACATATATGTACTCCTGGAAAGGGGTTCTGGTTTACAATGCTCTGAGTAGTGAAGTCAAAGATTTCTGCACACTGATGATCGTCTTTGAAGTCATAGAGTCCCTCCACCACTTGACCACTGTAAGAAAGCAAATGTGCATCACTGGTACTTTCTTAACTAGTTGTCAGTAGAAACGTTGGTTCTATGCTGTCAGAACTTTTAAAGGCATTTGCCCGAATGCTCTCAGAGACTCTGGGGACAACTGTAACAAAAACAGTGGTATTCACAGGTGGTTGTGTTATACCATCTACATGTCAAGCAAACACGTCTTATTAATTAAATGCACTAAAACACATATTTCAATTCTTGATGCCATCTTGGCACCTGAAGAGGCCTGCTAGGAACAGGACTTCTAAAAAGCAAGTATGTCTGGAAGGCTGTTGGTGCAAGACTATTTTTGCTGGCTATAGTAAGTGAGATCTCCAGAACCAAAGAAAGCACATGGCTCTTCTTAAAATTGAAGGAGTTCATGACCAAGATGAAACCAAATTCTACTTAGGCAGTGATGTGTTTATGTGTGTAAAGCAAAAACAACACAGTGACCCCTGGAAAGAAAAAAACCAACAGCAATAATTTGGGGAAGGTAATTCAGCTCCAAGAAACAGTGGCATGCTTCATGCCAAATTGTCAAGAAAACTTGCTGCAAAGGCCACTGGACATAGAATCCAAGTGAGATTGTACCCTTCATAGAGCTAAACTAATGAAAAATCAATAAAAATGGATTTGTAAAACAAAAATATATTTAATTCTCAATACTTGTACAATTTTGATGCACCATACAAATGACCACAATCATTTTTATGAACTACTTCAAAGTCCACAATGAAATTTTGATATTTAGTCCAAGCCTAAAAATATATCTGCTTTTTGTATCATATATACCTTATATGTAAGGTTTGTGGATAAATTAATATTTAAATTTTAATAACACTGTATGGAGAAAAGTTGGTATGTATCAAATATGATAAAAATCACTTCAGGGATCATGATGTTCCAGTTATTTCCAGTACTGAAATCCTTATAATGTTTTCAGAATGTTGATATTTAATGTTTCAGTTTTGAAGAAAATTTCCTGAGAGTAACTGAGTTTGAAACTGGATATACATGTATCTTTTGCTACTTTGGAAAATGTGCAACCACACAATTCTTGGGGCTGTCTCTTGAGGTCCATATTACCTTAGTTTTCTCCAGGAATTTCGGTATATATTTTCAATGATATGGTGCTCTAAACTGTTTCCTAAAACACAAACCAAGTGAAATCATTATAAATTATGACATCATAGTAAATGTTAATAAATTCTAGCAAAATTCACAGTAAAAAGTGATCCTTTTCACAGGGGCTAGAGAGATGGCTCAGTGGTTAAGAGTACTGACTTCTCCAGAGGCTGCTGGTTCAATTCTCAGCACCCACATGGCAGCTCACAACTGTCACACATGGCAGCTCACAACTGTCACACATGGCAGCTCACAACTGTCACACATGGCAGCTCACAACTGTCTGTAACTCCACTTCCAGCGAACCCAACACCCATGGTAAAACACCAAGGCACGTGAAATAAAAATAAAAATTAAAAAAGTGATCCATCTCACATATTCACCTAAATGTTTCTTTACCATACTTAAACTTATGCAGAAGCACTTTTTCTTTGATTGACTAATTAAAGGAATGATGACATACTCACCTATAGAGGCCAGGTTCCTCAAGGTTTCCTGCATCACATCTTTGTAGAGGTTCTTCTGGGATGGATTCAGCATAGCCCACTCCTCTAGGGAGAAGTTCACAGCCACATCCTCAAAGGTTACTGACTCCTGAAAGAGCCCATATACATTTCCACAAGGAGTGTGAGTCTCACAGTACTGGAAAGCTAATCTTAACTCATAAGAAGTTGGTAAGATTCAATGTTCTATGTGCGTTTAAGTCATATCATGGTCATCACACTTACATGTCATACACACTAAGAGTCTCTCACACAGTAATTCTGGTAGTAGATTGGAGCTATCTGGTAAGGCAACAACAGGATAGGTCCATCCTTGTTTAGCTAGGTTGTGCTAACCTCTCTCTGTACTTTGGTTCAACATTTACAATGAATTTTGATTGTCTAATGTCCCAAACACAGTCAATACCAGCTGTCCCAGGACTGCATTCTTAGTAATGCAGAAGACAATTCTACTTCTCCTGGTGTCTACAACTGCTATTCAGAGGGATTCCTCCCCCACCCCAACTGTAAAGAAAGAAGTAGCTTTCTCAACAGTTGATATCAATTACACGCCACTTTTACAGTATCTATTTTCTCTCAGAATTCTTGTAATGTTTATAAGTGCTCATCAGACACAGGTTAGAACCCAATATATTCAGAGACCCAGTGTGACAAGGCACCTCAAGATCTTCCTGCAATGCCTTCCCAGACATGATGCTCTGTATCTTGAACTGTAAACCAAAACAGCCTATCCTCCCCCAAGATTTCTTCTTAGGGGAGCTGGAGAGATGGCTAGGGGATCAGGAGCACTCACTGCTCTTGTGAGGACCAGTATGCTGGCTAGTTTTAGGTCAACTTAACACCAGCTAGACTCATTTTGGAAGTAATCTCAATTGAAAATTGGCCCCCAGTGCTGGGCAGAGTGGTTCACACCTCTAATCCCAGTACTTGGGAGAGACAGGCAGATCTCTGTGAGTTTTGAGGCCAGCCTAGTCTACACAGTGAGTTCCAGGACAGCCAGGGCTATGTAGTGAGACTGTCTCAAAAAAGGAAAAAAAAAAAAAATGCCACCATCAGATTAGTCCGTGGACAAATCTGCAATATATTTTCTTGATTGATGATTGATGTGGAAGGGCCCAGCTCACTGTGGATAGTGCCGCCCCTGGGCAGTTGGTCCTGGCAGAGCAAGCCAGGGGGAGCAAGATAGCAACATTCCTCCATGGCCTCTGCATCAACTCCCGCTTCCAGGTTCCTGTCTTTTTTGCGTTCCTGCCCTAACTTCCCTCAGTAATGGGCTATGATGTGGAACTGTGATTTGAAATAAACACTTTCCTCCCTAGGTTGCTTTTGATTATAGTATGTTACCTCAGCAACAGAAACTCTACTCACATCACATGATTCACAACCACTTGTAACTCCAGTTCCAGAGGATCTAATGCCTCCTTCTGGCTTCTCTTGGGGAGGGGAGATTCATGCGTGTACACACACACACACACACACACACACACACACACACACACACACAAAGTAACAAAATGTTTAAAAACAAAATATTGTCACAGCAACTAAACACAAAACTTAAGACAAGGTTGATTATGGGCAATTCATTGTACTAATAAATTAACATTACCATTTTTATTGGAGAATGTCAGTAGACAATGAAACAAGAAGAATGCCACATGTTTTGGAAGTGGCTTTAACTAGCCACCATGTCACCTGTCAGACATGTACAAAATTCTGTACATTCTATAACAAACTTTTAAGAAGTGTGATGGTTAAGGTTGTCACCTTATAGAATTTATAATCATGTAGGACACAAGCCCCTGGTCATCTGTGATTATCTAGATTACATTACTTGATGTGGGAACAAAAATCTTAAGTGTTGGTGGTAGCATTTCCTGAGCAGGGGGATCCTGAACTGTATAAAATGAAGAAAGGAGCTAAGCATCAGTATCATTCATCAGGTTCTGCTTCCTGTTTGTGGGTCATGTGGGCAGCTAATCCAACCTCCTGATACCCTGACCTCCCTGCCATGTAACTCAGTCAATCCTTCTTCCAGTTACTTTCACCAGGGTATTTTATCCCAGCAACCAGGAAAGAGAAAACTGGTACCCTACACTGGGGCTGTTTATGTGATAAACATGACCATCTTAGGCATTGTTTGTGGCAGGGACATGGAAAAATTTGGTATTTGGGTTAGAAAAGCCCTTGAATGCCAAAAACAGGGCTTAATGGGCCATGCCTGTGAAAGTTTGACAAACAATGCTGAGAGCAGCTGTAATTGATAAAAACATCAGTGTCACTATAGGAAAACCTATTAGGGCACACTGACACAGAAGAAAGATGGCCTGAGGGCAAAACCAGAGGCTCCAACCTGAGGTGGCTGTAGAACTGGGCACTGGCATCCACATGGTACTAGTTTTGAAGGAATGAAGGATGTCAGACAGGGAGGTCATACAGAACAGCTGAGGTCAGGCACCTTATAGGAGAGTCAAGAGTTCCTGCAAAGTGGGCCTCAGAAGTCAATGTGTAGAGCTCTGAAGGTGAAGTCTATTGGAGACCACAGGATACTAGAGACACCAGGACCTTAACAACAGCTATCTGCCAAGGACAGCTATAGGCAGAGAGTCCAGTCCAAGACACAGACTATATGTGATGCAGGCAGCAGCTCTGGGGTGGTGGTGCTACCTACCCTTTGGAATGTAGACAATTTCATCAAATTTAGATGTCAGGCAGAGATGTAGGATTTGATGTTTGCCTTGCTGGATTTGTATCTTACTTTGGTCCACCATAGCTTGCCCCAATTCTTCCATTTTATAACAGGAATGTTTGCTCTGGGCCATTATATAGTTGGAATTATGCAGAGCTGGAGAGATGGCTCAGCAGTTAAGAGCACTGGCTACTTTTCCAGAGGACCTGGGTTCAATTCCTAGCACCCACATGGCAGTTCACAACTGTCTGTAACTCCAGTTCCAGGGGATGACACCTTCACACAGACATACATGCAGGCAAAACATCACTGCACATAAAATAAAAATAAATAAGTAAATAAATAAATGTATATATTGGATGTATGTAACTTGCTTTTCATTTTATAGGACCTCACAGTTAAGATACTTTGGAATCTCAAATTGTTTAAACATGCTTAATGACTACGGGGAGTTTTTGGTGTTGGGATAAATGTATACTACATTATAACATGGTCATCAGTCTATGGAGATAAGGGGCAGAAGGTTATGGCTTAAAACTGATAAGTCTGGGTGTCAAGCTGACAAGGGCTGGAATTGTGATGGTTAATATTATTAACTTGACAGACTCCAGAGTCATCCAAGAGACATGCCTCCATGTGCACCCATGAGAGGTATCTAGACTGAGGTTAGCCTTTGAGAATGTCTCTGAGAGATTATGTTGATTGCATTAATTGGTGTAGGCATATCCACCTTGATTGTGGGTAGGATCATTCCCTAGGTAGAGGACTCTAGACTGTATAAAATGAAGACAGTGACCTGAGAATCAGCATTTATTCATCATTTTGTTTCCTGACTGGATGGCATGAGCATCTACTTCACCTGCTTGTTTCCCTGACTTCCCCACCAAGGCAGACTGTACTCTAATCTGTGGACCAGATCTTTCTCCCTTAGCTTGCCTGTCAGATTTTTATTTAATCATACCTATAGAAAAAATAACTAATGAATATAATAAGTCTATTTTATCAAAGTAGTTGAAATCAATGTCCAACAGTTATTTATTATTTAAGTAAGAATATAAAATTTGCCTAACATAAACAAAAGACTGATACAATAACCATGGCAGTAAGCTATTAACGCAGACAGACAAATACACTGAATGAAAGAAATCAGTCTTTACTCAGCAATCTTGAAACAGAAGAACTGATTATTGAGAAGAGATGGTGTACCAGAATCACATCTTGTGTACAAAAAAATCACATCTATATACATAAGGCAAAGATAAACTGGTACCAGCATGGGAACATGCAGTATATTCCCCTCTTCTCCATGGACAATAATCAAATATTCAGTCTTCAAGTCACAGTCAGCCTGACTAAAATAATGGACAAAAATAATCCCAGCGGGCTGGAGAGATGCCTCAGAGGTTAAGAGCACTAGCTGCTCTTCCAGAGGTCCTGAGTTCAATTCCCAGCAACAGCATGGTGGCCCACAACCATACATGGTTGTACATAATGAAATCTGGTGCCCTCTTCTGGTGTGCAGGGGAATTTAAGGTTACTCTTGGTTCTATATGCCATTAATAAGCCTGAAGCAAGACTTTTGGGACGGGGACACACACACACACACACACACACACACACACACACACACACACACCAACACCAAAAACAAATCAAAACAACAACACAGTAGGCCTGCAAAATGGGTGGGTCAGTGGGTAAAGGTGCCTTCGACAAGTCTGACAACCTGGGTGTGACTCCCAGAACCCACAGACTGCACCAAGAGAATTGAAGCTCTCTTCTGACTTCCGCACACATCACAGCATATAACATACACAACACTCAGTTTTTTAAAAAGTAAACTAAAACCACGAGAAAACAACAAAAACCCAAGTGACAAAGTCTGTCTAAGCCCAGCAAGGGACAAAGCCTTCTACATAAGAAGAAAAACCTCATTTGTTCCGTTATATCATAAATGTGAAGTGAGTGGTAACTCCTGTTTAATAGGTCACTTTATTTGTTTTGTCCCTGTCTTTATGATACTGAAAAACAAGAAAAAGAATCCAGCAGGGAGAAGAGAAATGGATATAAATGTTAAACATATGTCAAACAGATATAAGTGAGGATGTACATTTTTTCCTTCTTGTTTTAAGTTACATTTATTTAGTTTTATTTATATGTCTGGCAGGGGGCAGAGGGAGAGAGAAGGTGGGGAGAGGGACCTCCAGTACCATGGTACACCTGTGGAGTTGAAAGGACAACTTCCAGGAGTTGGTTCTCTCCTTCAACCATTAGGTCTCAGGTATCTAATTAAGGTGGTCAAGCTTGGTGACAAATACCCTTACCCACCAAGTCAACTCACAGGCTCTAAGGATGTATTTTTAGTAAAAAGTGTAATAGAATGTAAAGGCTTTTAGTGAGAA